ACTTTGCACAGCCTTACAAAAATTTCCACTAGTTTGTACACTAAATGCTGCTACAGTTTTCCCATTAATCTATGACTTAATTTTTGGAAACTACTGTATACCCATTTGTACAGGTTTTTTTTTATAGTGTTCATTACCTGTAATTTCCTGAAACTGACTTCCTTCACAAATATATAAAACTTTACACAACTCACTAGTGGAGTCATTGTGTATACAGTATTATGGCTATAAGAAACAAGTGTATTAGAATGCCTCAGCAAGTACCGTATACAGTATAATGTATGTATGTATATGTATGTATGTATGTATGTATGTATGTATGTATATATATATATATATATATATATATATATATATATATATATATATATATATATATGTCGTACCTAATAGCCAGAACGCACTTCTCAGCCTACTATGCAAGGCCCGATTTGCCTAATAAGCCAAGTTTTCATGAATTAATGTTTTTTCGACTACCTAACCTACCTAACCTAACCTAACCTACCTTTTTCGGCAACCTAACCTATGAAGATAGGTTAGGTTAGGTTAGGTAGGGTTGGTTAGGTTCGGTCATATATCTACGTTAATTTTAACTACAATAAAAAAAATTGACCTCATACATAATGAAATGGTAGCTTTATCATTTCATTAGAAAAAATATATTAATTCAGGAAAACTTGGCTTATTAGGCAAATCGGGCCTTGAATAGTAGGCCAAAAAGTGAGTTCTGGCTACTAGGTACGACATATATATATATATATATATATATATATATATATATATATATATATATATATATATATATATATATATATATATATATATATATATATATATATATATATATATATATATATATATATATATATATATATATATATATATATATATGTCGTACCTAGTAGCCAGAACGCACTTTTTGGCCTACTATTCATGGCCCGATTTGCCTAATAAGCCAAGTTTTCCTGAATTAATATATTTTCTCTAATTTTTTTCTTATGAAATGATAAATCTACCCTTTTCATTATGTATGAGGTCAATTTTTCTTTATTGGAGTTAAAATTAACGTAGATATATGACCGAACCGAACCAACCCTACCTAACCTAACCTAACCTATCTTTATAGATTAGGTTAGGTTTGGTAGCCGAAAAAGTTAGGTTAGGTTAGGTTAGGTAGGTTAGGTAGTCGAAAAACAATTAATTCATGAAAACTTGGCTTATTAGGCAAATCGGGCATTGCATAGTAGGCATAGAAGTGCGTTCTGGCTACTAGGTACGACATATATATACATACACACACACACACACACACACACACACATATATATACAGTCCTGTACATGGAGGCATACAGCACTTCAGCAACAAGAAATACTCAGAAAACTAGAGGTAACCAAAAATAACTTGCTAAAAAAAACAGGAATGAGCACACAGCAGTCATTGAAGAAAATCTAGATCTTATAAAAAAAAGATGCACGCTCAAAATGGCACTTGTATTATATGGCTTAGTGGATCTTTAAATTCAGCTACTACACTGCAAATACAGAGGATTTGTAAGAGCATATTAAGTATATCAATATCCTATAAATATTAAAAGAAAGCACTAAATTAGTATGGCTACATAGCTGTTATTAAGTCTATGGGAGGCTGCTAATCAACCTGGTCGTGTTAATCTGTCACAAAAGATATACCTGCAGTTGTCTACCTGCAGGATCATGCAATATCTCCTGCTACCAAGTGACAGATCCCTTGCTCCTACCAACTCTCAGATCTCCTGCTCCTATCAACTGACCGATCTCCTACTCCTACCAAAAGTCAGAGCTCTTGTTCCTAGGAAGCATCAGAGGTCTCACTCTTAGAAAGCGTTAGATTTCTCACTCCAACCAAGTATCAGATCTCTCACGTCTAGCAAATGTCAGGTTTCTAACTCTTCAGCTGTCTCTTCAACATTCACAACAGCATCAGAGAAACTAGGTAACTTTGTTAATCAAAATTACAACCATAAAATCATGAATATTATAGCTTTAATGATAGTATTTAGCATATCGAGCTACAATGTTCAAAAAGCCAAGTATCACACTATGGCGCAGCGAGTCTGCGCAGTTGTGTCACAGCCGAAAGGTCCCGGGTTCAATTCCTGCGGTAGGATAGAAGTGTTTAGGTAACATTTTCTTTCAAGGGATGTTTCTGTTCACCTAACAGTAAACAGATGCCTGGTAGTTGTCATCAGTTTCTGTGGGGAAAAAGGGAGGGCTGGGTTTGGAGATGGCCGATGAGGCCCATCTGAGCTCAAAGTTTCAAAGTCAAGGAGGAGGCCTGGTCGACGACCGGGCCGCGGGGACGCTAAGCCCCGGAAGCACCTCAAAGTTACAGTGGAGGGGGAAGGAAGTCTGGACTCCCAACAAGGAGGATCCGCGACCAGCCTTGGACTTGCGAAGAGATCGAGAAATAACTGTTGTGGGCAGCATCCTGGGGAAGGTCAGTAGTTGGCCTAGGGAGGGGGGGGGGGAGGGGGCACAATAAATCTACCAGGCTTCCTGTCCAAAATTATTGGATAATCATAAATCAACCAAATACGTCTTTGTCTATTTCTATTTTCTGCTAGTTCTGAAAAGTGGCTCAATGAACTTTGTCAAGCTCTATTTATGAATGTTGACAGGTATGTGAAAACTTCAACGTGCATCATACTGGATAAATAATTACAGAAGGAAGAGGACAACAACAAACATGAATGCGACTACGAGACCAAACGCAAGAGATAAAATGCATCTTTTAAAGTGCACAAACAACACTGATTATTTCAGTTCTTCCATAAGCATTATAATGCACTCACTGATAGAGGAAAGATATAATAAATGTAGAGAAACAGGTTACAGGCTGTGGGAGAAGGAAAGGACAATGGACATATGGGGAAGAGGATGCACAGTGAGACGCATTTTTTTGTCAAGACATGTTCCAGATGCAAATTGGTGCGTACATGTGACAAAATAGAAGTTTATTTTTAGAAGAAGTTTACCTGGAGTCGGTTTCGAGAGTTATTCTACTTCCTTAGCTTAGCCTGGTGTCAGGCTTATTTTGTGATAACTTTATCTAAATGGCTGTTGCTTGGAGCAGCTGGCAGGGTCACATATCCACTACAACCTGGTTAGTTCACCACAACAGATGCTACAACCCATACAACCCACACCACGAGGTCTGGTCAGAGACCTGGCCAAGAGGATACTGATCCTTGGAATCACTGCAAGGTAACGGCTAGTAACAGTAGTGCCTCAGGTGTGTAAAAAGCTAGCTGATTTTTCTCGATGTTCTCTCATAAACGCTTTGTCTCAGGCACTTAGAGGAATAGAAGAGCCTGAGATACTTGGCAAATACTATTACCACTCTGATGTTGTATGCCACAATAGATAATACCGTATAGTATATAAATCAGCAACTATTCATTGGCGAGCACACTACCCAAGTGTCTTCAGCAACGGCGTTGAACTTCAAGATTTATTTATGGCATTTTAAAAGATCCCAGGTTTTGTATAAACTATTCCCACTAAAGGAATGTGATTGCTTCTCTAAAGAACCCATGTAAGTTAGACAATTATTTTATCAATAATTATGAGTGTGAGGTTAATGAGTACGTAACCGGAGCATTAAAGACATCACTTCTAATAAAGTCTTTGAAATCCATTTACAACATAATCAAAATCAGGATTAGAATAGAAAGCAAGCAATGAATAATACATGGTTCAGACCCTACCCACTCTATAGACAGGCAAACAACAAAGGTCCCGAGGGGGGGGGGAAAGGGGGCTCTGGGGCACCCCACTTACAACAGTTTTTCCCTTAGACATAAAGCCATATAAGAGTTTATGCATATACTGGTGGGAAAGAACTCACTGTTCCCTCTTTTGGGACATTCACTTCAAGCTAGGGAAGCTGACTGAACACAACCCACTGATATTTGCTATTGAGGGGGAGGTTACAATCATTTTTTTCTCTCCTGTCATTGCTTACAAATCCAAAAGACTACCTGATGAAAAAGCTAGAGCGCAACTCCTCATAAGCACAAATACACAATTACCTGTACAATAGTTAAACAGTCTTCTTACTTAAATGTCTAAGCACCCCAATACTCTAACTTCCATGGATTACACTGTCAACACTTACAAGAAGAGCCCAACCTGCACATGAAACTAAATCCAAGTTTCAAAAGTTCGGTCCGTCCTAGACCCTAACTTAACTAGCGGTCCGGATTGACTGAAACATCATCACTATCATTTGATTTTATATTTGTGGGATGCATTATTTATTTTACCAATGTTACTGTGTTTTTTATCTGAATTTAAAGAATATTTTTTGGTACCTGTATATACTATGCTTTTCTTAGACTTGCATTGCTCAAACTAACTCCAATGCTTAAAAAGAGAATATGATATATATATATATATATATAGTATATATATATATATATATATATATATATATATATATATATATATATATATATATGTGTGTATATCACGAAAATAAACACGTGATTAAGAATGTGACAATGTCAGACCACGGAGGAAATTTCAAATTTCCAATGTCAGACCACGGAGGAAATTTAAGGAAATTTCCTGTTTCATTTTTCCTCCGTGGTCTGACATTGTCATATATATATATATATATATATGTCATACCTAGTAGCCAGAACGCACTTCTCGGCCTACTATGCAAGGCCCGATTTGCCTAATAAGCCAAGTTTTCATGAATATATATATTTTTTCCATTTTTTCTTGTTAAATGATATAGCAATCCATTTCATTATGTATGAGTTCATTTTGTTAAATTTGAGTTAAAACTAACCTAGATATATGACCGAACCTAACCTACCCTACCTAACCTAACCTATATTAACCTAACCTAAACTAACATAACTAAATCAATAATTCATGTTCTTAATATAATGTAATAATAATAATTCAAATAAACCAATTGGAAACAATATGTTGAAAATGAAGAAAATCACTCGGCCTATTAGGCAAATCGGGCCTTGCATACTAGGCTGAGAAGTGCGTTCTGGCTACTAGGTATGACACACATATATATATATATGCGAACAAGCCTGAACGGTCTCCTCTTTATGATACCTCTTTTATATAATTAAATTTATTATCAACACTTCTTAATGAAGTACAATAAATGAAATGCTCTCTTCAGTCCCATTCATTAATGAATGAATGAAACCTTAACCTCACTGGCCCACAAACTTGGTTAACTAAAAGCTATACAGTACTAATCATGAATGGCTTTCATTACCATGGCAATTACTTCAATACAATGAGAAAGAAGTACTAAGAATATATGTTCTCAGTAACAAGGTTCAGCAATAGCTGGACCAAGACAGCAGGAGCGAAGATGCAACTCGACAGTCTGAGGTAGCACGAGCACAGTCAACTGTGTTTTATACAGCTTCATATTATTACACAAAGTTGCACACAAGGCAACACACCGAAGAACAGTTATTAATATCAATGAATTTGGAAACTTTGTTTGAGCGCTATGTTTCTTCCATACAATATCATTCACCTGCCACGGATAGAAAACCATTAAGAATGCCACCTAATGCCAATCCTTAGCTATCCAAAACAAAATTGGTTGATGAAATTGAACTTATGAGCAAAATAAAGTGTGTGAAATAGAAAAAAAAAGTATTCAAAAATGAGCAAATGCTATTGCTACTATCAGTTTGCTGGTTCTGTAAGACCAGTTAAAACCGACATGTTCCTCTATCTTAAAAAAATAAAATGCCCTTGGTAACTTTCTAATCATTAAAAACTTAAAATGCCTCTGGAATGTAATTTTGAACCACACTTCTGATAATGGTCCAAATAATGCTGGTAACCAAATTCTAGACTGGTAAAATCCTATAGATCTCACATGTATTGCAATACACTATATAAAAAAAATTAAAATACGCAACAGTAAAACACGCAATACGAATGGAGAGACTAAACCAAACGCAACATGAACAATCTCCAAACATATATGAAAAAAAAAAAAAGGTGAGAGCCACTTAGTCTATAAACAAAATCAATCTTCAGCAAAAACGTGAGAGTTTTACTGTGCTGTAGATGGAGTTTATAAAAAACTCCTAGATTATTATCCATAGTCAGTTAAATCTTGCCACTATCAGATCACAATACCTCTGCTCCCAAAAACAGGTCAGGTCTTGCATGCTGCATAAGACAGCTCAACTTGGGGACATTTCCGGACCTGTGAAGCTCACACACCACGCAATTCCTTCATTCTCCGTTTGATGTAAAATTCCATGTCTTCATACCTGCGGAAAAAAATGGGTGTCATAAAATACAACAATTTACACAACTGATTAGGACAGATACAGTACCTCGATCTGATAAAAGATACAAAATATTAAGATTAGTTCAATTAGATTAGATTTACAGCAATTTAAACTTAGGTCAGAAAGTAAGTTAGAACTCCCTCATTTGCACGCAATATGTGCACAATTTGACTTAATGTGATAAGTATTGTATTGTACATAATTGTACTGTATATATTATATGTATACTTATTCTTAGCATAGCATGTCTTCTCTTACTAACCAGTAAGGCGATCAATGCAAAACCTCCTTCCAAGTACTCCCATTCTCACACATCTCCATACACTTCACACAAGTGACACCCCCATTCTTACAGCCCTCCATACTGTACATTCAACACAAGTCACACCTCGCCCTCACACATGTCTATACACTCATAACAGAACAAAGATATACAAAATGAATACAGTCATGTACAAAATAGTACGAGGCCCAAAATAGTTTGTCACGTATGCAAAGAGCAATTATAGGCCACACTCTTACATTAGGAGGTGCATACTGTACACTACCGATGATAGACAAAAATGGGGAAAAATCATGCAAACTGTAAATCCCTATTTAGCAGTGCAAGATCCTGAGAGATTTATTATTGAACGTGGGGGCCCTCTGAAAGATTTACATTGGTTATTAAAACAAACCCCACAGACTTTGAAAAGGAGAGCAAATTTTCCCATACACTATGAGCTAAATTCCTAAAAGTCTTTGAAATAGGTGGGAAATATCAGTCACCGGCCCTTTGTATAATATGGCAAAAAAAAAAAATCCAGGAGGCAGGTAACATTCCACAAATGCTAAAAAACTGCAATTGTTCCATTTCACAAGGGAGGTATTAAAGCAATGACCAAAAACTACAGACCAGTTGCACTAACATCATACATTATTCAAACTTTCGACAAGGTGTTAGTTGGCTTAGAAGCCAACTAACTAGCGCAGTATCATAGAAAAAACAAGATATACAGCCCTCGTCAATACAGTTTTAGAATAGGAATATCTTGTCTTTCACAACTACTGTACTGGATCCCTATGACAAATTTACAGGGCGCATTAGAATACAACATACTGGTCATAGATATTGCAGGAAGTATAGAATAAGACTTAAGAAAAGTTGGGGGTGCCATAAGCACCTACAGGGTTCACTGTGTGAGCATAAGAGGATCCAGACATTAGAATTCTACCAGCAAGTAGAGCATAAGAAATATTGCTGCAACATGGATTGAGGCACTCAATCAATGTTGCAGCATTGATTAGCATGATGAGCTCTTCCAGGAGTTACTGGATCATTCTGGTTGTGATGGCTATATGGGTCTGCAGGCAGTGAACACAAACTTAAATAATCTCAATAACCAAGCTTGTCTAACAACTTGGGCTGGATGGTAGAGCGACGGTCTCGCTTCATGCAGGTCGGCGTTCAAATCCCGACCATCCACAAGTGGTTGGGCACCATTCCTTTCCCCTCGTCTCATCCCTAATCCTTATCCTAACCCCTTCCAAGTGTTAATATAGTTGTAATGGTTTGGTGCTTTCTCCTGATAATTCCCTGCTTCCGTCAATAACCAAGCAAAAACCCGGTAGGCCAAACCTTAGGCCAGGCTACAAAGAGTAAACAAAACTCTCAAAACCTACTACAGGGGAAACTTAAACATTTATATTTTTCTCGACAATTCTCCCAATTTCTTTTCACTCAAACAACCATCCCTTTGCTGTGCTACATCTAATTAGTTTTCATAATATAGCCACAATGTTTGCTTCCATTTTGAGTCGATGTTTCCCAGCTATACCACATATATGCCAGCTCTCATCTTTCCTTTACTTCTGGTCTTTGTCCCTGAAATCATTATAACTCTTAAGACAAAGTGCAGAAATGAAGTCAAATTCTGTAGCCACAACAAAATTAAGAACACCCACAGATAACCACACAAAGTAAACTGGCCTACCCAAATATGTCTAACCTAACCAAATCTAATTTAACTTTCAGCTTCTGACACTCTTCAGATAGTGCCACAGGAGTTTAACTAACTTTTGTCTGACGGCAAGAATCTGCCGCTGTTCTTCTTGCTCATACTGCCGAAGGATGGCTCGGCACTCGGCCAGGCTGAGGTTGAGGAACTGGGCCACCTGAAATGAGTTCCATTACAATCAAGTACAGTACTGTATGTCTAGTTTCTCCAGTAGCTCACTCCATACATCCATTTGCTCTAAATTATATCATACGACAACTGAAAAAATATCAACTGTTATTCAACAAACTAATTTAGTCTGATTCATATTTATTTGTATTTACTAGTGTATTCTCATCTGAAAGCTTGTTTTAACTTTAATATAATTAGTGTCACGTAACAAAAAATAAACATGCATATGATTTAAGGCACCTTCTACATTCTAATTTAAATATTGTATATTGTACTGTATACATATACAATTTCTACATGTTGTATTACAATTAAAGAAATAACGTACAATGTGAAAAATAATTACAATATTTGAAAGCTGATGAAAAATTATAAAATATATATATATATATTTTTTTAGCTACTTTAGCTACTTAGCCTACTCCTATTTACTGAGGAGGAACCCACCCAGCTTTTCCATAAACCTATTTCTTAACACAACTAGGAATAAAATTCTTCACTCATGCGAGGGTCACCTCACTGTGATGACGAGATGCATCAAAGTGGCTACAACAGTCTGTTTACGTCCGATTAGACTTAATCGGTCTGATAATCTGGGCGGGGCGAGATGCTTGTACACGTTCACTTTCCCTTGATGTCTTCTTTAATCCAGCAGTAAATAAAGAGCTCAGGAGTTAAGCAATTATTGCAGATTCCACCGAGAGAAAGGTCAGGTGTCGTTGACTGAAGGATACCTTGGTAAACCTATCAGGCTTCCTGTTCCCGACAATGAGAACCCAAACCCTTTTTTTTCCATATATATTAATTATACAAAACACTTCTGAACACTAATAAATAGGTGATGAATTCTATAATCTGCTGCACTCCTTTGAACAGGAAAAATAAAGATAGATGTGAAAATAATTAGTCTGAACTCATAGACATAAACATAAAATTTTTAATTTCAAAGCAAGAAAATTCAGCGGATTAGGGATTTACAGATACAGTACTGTATAGATATTCAAATACTGTCCTCATACAAATACATCAGAAGTAACTCTGAATAAAATTGTTATCACCATCACACATGGCAGGACAGTAGAGTAAGTGATACTAATATTTTTAGACTGGACAAATATTACATACAGTATATGGTGCCTCTCTGACTGAACATGCACATGCCGGATTCACTTACTTTATTCAACGAACAAGAGTTCACTGAAGCAGGGGAATGTGTGGATTTGTTTAGGATATTGGGACTGATTTCATTTTACAAGAAATAGTTGGGGGCCTTACACTGACTTGGGGTGATATTGCACACTGAACTGGAGTGACATCGTACACTGACCTGGGGTGATATTGCACACTAAACTGGCGTGACATCGTACACTGACCTGGGGTGAAATCTCTTCTGTTTGCTGTGCATCCACAATAAATACACGTGCCACATCTTCATGAGGACCCAGCATCACTCGTGTTATCAGTGGATATTCATCATCTCTAATCCTTCGTCTCTCTACAGCAAAAACACAAAGATTGTATCAAATGTATTTATAAATATAATTTATAAAATCAAAGTGGCAGCTTAAAAATCATAGAGGAAGCTGAAAAAGACTTAGTATCTCATGGCATAAGATGGTCTTTCACTGACCAACCTGTTTCAACTATCTATGATGGTACAGTATATAGTAACATTACTATGATGGTATAATGTAACACAGTAACTCGGCAGAGCTGCGGAAGAGGTTCTGAGCACTTTGAAAATGAGAGAGATGCATTCATTTAGTCCTACACAGAACTTTGTCTTGACTCTATATATACAGTATTTATTTTCTTTACTAAAAACACAGCCAAAAGTTATATACAAGAGTTTCAATAATCTATGCCTTTAGCACACTTACCTCCGTTATCTTTAATTACATATAGGGCAAAATTCCGAGTTGACATTTCCACTCGATACTTCTCCAGCAGCATGTTGAGAACCTCCTCGGCTGTGATTAAGGACGTCACCCACACACTACACGGTGACCCGTGAGGGGGCGTGAAGGAGCTCGTTTCTCTTAAATAGAAGTGGCCATTGATGGAGCACCGTCTCTGTTGAACACATGGTAAATCAACTAATGATCGATATAGTGTTAAATTGATTTTATTACATTTTTTTAATATAATGTGTAATATTTTGCATTTTTTTTTTATGTTGCATGCTCTTAAAAGTCTCAGGGAATACGGCAATTTTTATCTCTTCAAAACATTTTATTTTCAGTTTATCACCATTTCAGTGTTTATGGGGTGATAGTGACTTGTGGCCATGAAAAGGTACCTCAGTACTAGTGACTTGTGGCTAGAAGGCAAAATAGACTTATCAGTTTAGAATAGAAATACATATAATTTTAATAACTTTTCTGTGCATGTGTGTAGATGAAAAAAACATCTCACTGTTGTGACTCAAACTCAGCCGAAATTTATTTCATTTCTACACTTTCGGACACAGACAAATTCAGCTTCGTGAACGACAGACAAATTCTCAGGGCAATGTTATGACACAAGTATAACTTATTGTTAAAGTGAGAGACTGAGGTGCAGGATTCAAATAAGCTGTATTCTTTGATTTTTATCTTGTTTCTAATTCAAATATCTTTGTATTCCCTTGTGGCACATTATGGGAGAAACATCCATTAATATAATGTTTATGCACCCATTACTTACCTTGAGCTTGGTCTTATCCATTCGTCTGCCCGGCCGTCTTCTAATAGCAGAACTTCCCGTTTTCATAGCCACCCTTTTTGATGGCGTGTGGTCATCGAGGCTGGAATTAAGTTCCCCTGATTCACTGTTTTCTAAGACTGATGGATTACTATTTTCATTATGAAAATCAGACTCGGAACTATAAGACGAAGCATTGTTATTAAGCATAACCTCTGAAGACGAGTTCTTGTGTTTGGTGTTGCTGCTGGAGGCCTCATCACTCTGGGGCACCGAGTTAACCACCTTCTCCTCTCTAGTAGTAACATAAGTGACGCCATTTGGTGGGTTGGAAGAATTCTTGCACTCAGTATCTAATAAGGCATTCATGTTACATGTCTTAAAATCAGTATTCTTCCATAAGTCCCCTTCATTATTCAAACTTATTGGAGATTCTTTTGGTGTCTGATCCTTCATCTCTGGCTGAACACAGATTCGATTACTGATGGCAGCTCCATCTTCTCTTGAAGGAAGTATACCATCAGTTGAGATTCCAGGAGTGAGAGACCCAGCATTTTCTCTCTCATTAAGTGTCTGGTCACTAGGGAACACACAGAACAATGTGCTTCTTCCTAAGGTGCTGACTTTTGGAGTTTGAGGTGAACTTGGGGACTGAGGAGTACGCCAGCCATTCAGACAATCATCACGCCAGTGGGTCTGCTCCTTGGGAATAGAAAAATGTTATTTACACTGGTCAAATTTCTGTGACTGAAAATTGTAAGTGTTAATAAAACTTTCAGCAAAGCCCTGTATAGAGGTTAATGGTTAGTGATCCGAGTTTGAACCCTGAGCAACATGGAACAACTCGGCACCATTCACCTCTGTACACCCATCAGTAATTGAGAACCTGGTTGAAAAATGTTTGGGAGAACACGTTCTAAGATATACAGGATGCTAAATAGCCTAACTATTACCAGTAACTGACACAAGGCTAAAAGACCCCTCATAAATAAATATCCCTCCATAAACGAAAAAAACTTTCAAACAATATTAAAACAAATTTATTATGTCATGAAAGACAAAGTTCTTGAATCACAAAAGGCAAGACGATATGTTCAGTACATGACTAGCAAAATAGGAGGTGAAAGACATTTATAAACAGCTTGATAACTTGTGTGATAAATCTGATAATGTACATCCCAGTCGGGTAATATCATTTTCCATCAAGTCATCGTCTACAATTCAGCATATATCAAACATCTGATACAATTATAGTACTGCCTCCTATGGTATGAAACCCTAAACCCACCAGGACAGCAACACTGTCTGAGCAGCGACACCACCAACTGTAGCCCTAGTGAAGGGCTGCCCTAGGCACATGCAGCTCATGGCAAACACTTTTTAAAAGTCCACACAACAAGTGAAGCTTGTTAATACATGCACCTGAAGCAAATGCAAAATATTGAAATTATATACATGCAAATGGGTCCCAACAGGACAGAGTCCAAAGGGTGACATCAGGTGAAGAACTGATAATTGTTGACAAGAGCAGCTGGCAGCTCTTGTGGTGCTGACACCTGGTGGTGGTCAGCTGTTACTTGGGGCGTATGACTGAGCTACTGGGTGGATTAAATTGCCGAGTTCTTTGCTGCACTGTTTAAATTTTGTGAACCTTGCAGTTGTCCATTTTGCATTGCTTCCTTTCTGGGGGTTTGTTTCTTTAGTGAGGGGTAATCATGAATCCTCTGCTCCCTATACCTGTGTTAGGAGATGCCAGGTTTTGCCTTTGGTCTCAGGTAGGCTATTAAGGACTCACAAAGAATGATGAGACTTACAGTTGTGAAGCTATCTCGTGAAACTAGCTATTGCAAGCCACCATTTGGTGCCTCCAGAAAAATTCCTCAGTGAACACAGGCAATCTTCCAGTGTCCTGCTATGACAAATCTTGTAATATTGTAGAATCTTGTTTCCAAAAGTGTCATTGTTGAGTGACAGTACAATGGAAAGATAGACAAAACTGTTGAGCGACAGTACAGTGGAAAGATGGATAGACACGACCCATAGGTCCATGACGGTTATCTACTAGGAAGGTAGACACACACTACTTGATGGACAAGACATTCTCCAGGAACATTTAATCAACAGAAAATCAATGTTATAAACATTGATTCAATACTTAGCTTTGCCCAGGGGGATATCTACACTACTGTTGACAGACACAAATGGGTGGGTGGAGGGGGAGAATGATGAGGAGGTGTACTGTACGAGCCTGTGACCCCGGGAAGCCGATATGAGTCTAGGGTTTATGAACCTGGGACTTAAAATTGGAGGGTCACTGTAAGACTTCAGCTTTTGCACTAACCTCATCATCACTATCCGAGTAAAAGGCAGCGGAATTTGCTGTCGAGCGTCTACGGACAGCAATTGTTCGTTGATCATCCTCTTCCTTAAGGTGAATAACATTACGCACTCCCCAGTAAATCTTCAGCACACCCTCCAGAATCATACGACCATTGGCCTGGAATGAAAAGAAAAATTATCCAACCTCTTGCCAAATACTATAATTAATCAATCATGATTTGTGAACAATAATGAGAAATGTATGAAACATAATACAAATATAATGACCATATATCTCATTGGATAAGGCGACTGTCAGATAAGACAACACCCAAATTTTGGTCCAAGTTTTATGGTTTTAACTCGTATCAGTGATACAAGATGATCCCAAAATACCATAACCATTTGTGGTGAAGTTTAGATGGGTGAGCTCTAAACAACTGAGACTGTGACATACCTGTGCAATGAATTAAATACCTTGAATGTATTAGAAGGTATAATACCTTGAATGTATTAGAAGGTATAATACCTTGAATGTATTAGAAGGTATAATACCTTGAATGTATTATAAGGTATAATACCTTGAATGTATTATAAGGTATAATACCTTGAATGTATTATAAGGTATAATACCTTGAATGTATTATAAGGTATCATACCTTAATGTATTACATATCTGTAAATTATCTAAAATTGTTGGCATGTTATCAGCAAGGCACATAAGGTAAATAATAAATTTTAATCAAACTGTTATCATGGCTCCACCAGTAAAACGAAGAAAGTACTATATAAATCAAGTTTTCAGGTAGAAGTTATTGAAGTGGCCAAGGAATCTAAGAACTGTGCTGCTGCTGCTGTAAGAACATTTGACATAACTGAGAAGATGGTAAGAGAGTGGAGGAAAAATGATCATGTTGTAAGGAAAATTATGAATGCTGCAAAATCTTTACAAAAGATGGGGCTATGTGTGCTCCATCACTTGATGTGCTGTGTGATTTTGCTATCAATCATGGGATAAAGGGAAGGGAACTATCAGATGAAAGTGCCAAACCATTACGACTATATAGCACTTTAAACGGATGAGGATAAGGATTTGGGATGGGACGAGGAAAGGGAATAGTGCCCAACCACTTGGACGGTCAAGAGGCGAGACCGTTGCTCTACCGTCCAGCCCAGGGAATAAAGTGTAAGTAGAGTCTATAATAAAATCTTTCAAAAACCAGCGTTTAATGTAATGAAACACCATTTTTTGGATGAGCCTCGGAAGCTCCCTGGAGCTATCACGCTAATATGTGATACATTAGATCAGGAAATTTGTCTATGGAGTTCAGCTTACCGGAGACCATGAGCCAAAACCTGGCCCCTCAGAGAGGTACAGGGAGCAATGGCCCTAGAAAACCACCCCTGTGGTTGGGTTTTGTTCTTATCTGTCATTGACTGGGGTTAAGCATCCAAAAGGGTAGGCATAGCAAAACAAACCCCACATGGTAAGAAAATTACAACTAAAAACCGAAAAAGAGAGGCAGAACTCCCTCCCATCCCAAGGAAACAAGCAAGCATCACACTCCACCACCACGTCGCTCATCCGCGCAGCCCTCCCTCCCTGGGAGGGGGAGGGGGAAGCCCCGGACCTCCCTGTGCTGGAACCAAGTAGAATATGGGGGTAATATGTAAATGGAGGTGGGGGTAATGTTTATGACAAGGCATATAACACACCTACATGACTAACTTGAGACTTTCTTACCTCTCTGCTCTTCAGCTCTCCCGGCTTGCCTTCATAGTATTGGTTGTAAGCTTTCAGCTTGGCTTCAATATGTGACCTGAAACACACACACACACATACAGTACATTATAATAAACAGCCACCAATTTAAAGAAAAAAAGGTCAATCATCTTTATGGCAAACAACACTAATAAAATGTACTCTTCTTTATCAGAACTGTATTACACTATAAGGAAAACAATTTTTAACAAAAATGATTGTACCAGTTTAAATAAAAAAAAGCTGATCAAGAAAAATGGCTAACCTAGGAAGACTCTGTATGTATTGTACCCAAGATTGAATTCCCAGCTTAAACTTTTGTCTTATTCTATATAAAGATACTCTTTTATGTTTTAAACCCACAAGGGCACAGTTCTTATCTATTGTTTACTTCCTAGCCACTCTTCCACAACTGTTCTCTATTATTTAAACCCTGATCATCCATCTACAGTCACTATCTATTATTTACATCCTGTCACTATTGAGTCATTATCCATTGTTTTTACCCAGCACTCTTCTATAGACAATTGTTTACATTTATATCCCCATTCTGCTTTCTTATTTCTTATTTCTCCCTGCCACTCTGAAGAATACAGAGCACTCCATGTTTCACATATATGTCAATGACTTTCAAGCACATATATCCAAAATTGCATAAATCTATTTCTAACTCTACAAACATTGGAAAAAATCTGACATATTTCTAGTCGCATATTTCTATTCAACGATCACAAATTGTCACAGATAATAAGGTCTACATATGACCAGATTTCTTTAGTAAGAACAAGCCACAATGATGTAATATTTGAGCAATAGCTTTTCATCTCTTCATTGTGGCTTCTTGTGCAACTTAAAAGTCGTTGATACAAAATTTTCTGTCAGCACGTTTCATTACCTTCAAGCGCTTTACATGACCTCCAGCAGCCAAATCCTCTCAGCAGTTAAGCTTACATGACCTGGTTCCTTATTAATCGACATGTTTAGCCTGCAGCTTCTCTATTTCCAAGTAATTTTCACGAGATGCAGGTGTATTTAAAGTGCAATAACTACCAATATAGTTTCCAGCTGAAAAATACCTAACACTAAACAAGACCTCTATTTTGCTGGCTAACATTTATCACTATATAACTAACTTTTGATGTGAAATTCTTTAATCCAACAGTCAAATTATTTAAAAAGAAAAGTGTTTAATGTAATGAAATGTCATGTTCTGGGTAAGCCCCGGAGGCTCCTTGGAGCTATCAGACTGATATACGCTATATTAGTGTATATCAGTTTGGGGCATCGGTCAATGGAGTCAGCCCTTCCCTCCTGGGGAGGGGAGCACGGACAAGCGGCACGGCAGTAGTGAATGACGTTTGCTTGTTTGCTTGTTTCCTTATGTTTTTTTTTGGGGGGGGGGGGTTCTGTCTCTCTGTTCGGTCTTCGGTTGCAATTTCTGGTTGCAAAGAACCAGGTGGAGTTCGTTTTATCATGCCACCTTTCTGGGTGCCTAACCCCTAACCACGATGTCAGATATGTAATGCTCCCAAACACATGGGGGTTTCCACAGACCATCGCTCCCTGTGCCTCTCTGAGAGGGGGGCCAGGTTCTAGCTCATGGTCCCCGGTAGGTAGAACTCCACTGACTGATGCTCCAGACTAACATAGCATATATCAGTCTGACAGCTCCAGGAAGCCAGAGGGGCTCCCCACAGAAAATATGCTAATATGGAAAATAAAAGTCATATGACATGTTGTATGTATCAGTAAATACTTTAAACCTGTTATTATGATTCTAACCTCTTCACTTGGCCGTCCCTGTTTTCCACCTTGCCAAACGAAGTGTGGCATTCATTGCGTGTGCCATGACCAAAGAGTTGGGGACCAAAGAGAGCTCCATAACATGGGTGATGACAATATGGAACTCCCTTGTGCTGCAAAGGAAAAATAAAGAGCTACATCAACCTTGAGTTATGATAGATATTAGTAAAGATGGATCTTTAATAACAATTCCTATATAAACATGCCAACAAATATTTAATTAAAGATAAATTTATTATATTTGCCAGCTTCACAGCTCGACTCTTACCTCTGCGTGCTGGCCAGGATTTAGTCGCTTGCCACATTCCTCACAACGCAGACAATTTGGATGCCAGTCAAATCCTAGCGATTGCTTTCTCTCCGCTAAAATGGTAGATGTTTCACAGTGATAAATTCTATAAAATCTGCTAGTTAATCTACGAGTTATAAAATTATGACAACCTAAAGATACTAGATACATAAACAAAAATCCATTAACTGGAAATATATATTATGGTATTGACATTGCAGAGTACATATACATAATAGTCCTAGCTAAATTGTAAGGTTCCTATTGTTATTAAAAAAAAGTAAGAATGCACATTGTACTTTTAAGGCCAAACTCATTTATGGCCAAAATTCTGTACTAAAGTTCATTGACCTATGAGAAGAATCTCCACAATAGTCTTTGTGAAATGATGTCATACAAACAAACTTACAAAGATACTAATGTATAGTGTACTGCGTTATATGGAGCATACCTGGAGAGGGTTCTGGGAGTTCTTCTACTCCCCGAGCCCGGCCTGAGGCCAGGCTCGACTTGTGATAAAGTCGTTATTGCAATTTCTGAGCTGAAATTATACACCTAAGTCTCATGTTCTATTTCAATATCTGTTGAAGGACACATATTTGAACTGAACTTCGACAAAGTTTCCTTAGTCTGAATGAAATTTTACATTATCATGCCATTCCAAGATAATGGAAGTGCATGATAATGTAAAATGACTTATAAATGATAAATGACTTCAAAAATGATAAATGACTTCAAATGAACCTAACATAAGCTAGAAGCTGGACAGTGCAGTATTGCAGAGTACAGTACAGAATTCCTAAAATCACAGTGCACCAACTTTTAGTGGTTAGTAAACTCAATAGGTTTACTGTGGTATACAGTACTGTATACCAAGCAATGATAATTTTATTTTTGGGCTTGCATGATAAAACATTAAGTGTGGATAGATAGATACAAAACCTAATTAAACCAAGCTTAATTAGGTTTGACAGAGCATGGGCAGCTGTCTTGCCCCCACCATTTTTCTCTTCCTCACTATTAAAAGCAAGATATGTATTCAAAATATATATTTTTAGTTTCTACATTTATAACAGTGGTGGACAAGGAATTTTACCTTCAGACTGCCACTTTTGTTGCAATATATATTAAAACATATACATTACAGTAATTGAATATTGTGATAAATATAATCTAATACATAAGTATTGTATGAAAACCTTAAGGTAAAATTGTCAGTCTTCAGCAACCTTACACCAGTGACTGGCCGAACATCAGATACCTTCTTCTTGAGGTTATCTTGAGATGATTTCGGGGCTTTAGTGTCCCCGTGGCCCGGTCCTCGACCAGGCCTCCACTCCCAAGAAGCAGCCCGTGACAGCTGACTAACGTCCAGGTACCTATTTTACTGCTAGGTAACAGGGGCATGGGGTGAAAGAAACTCAGCCCATTGTTTCTCGCCGGCGCCTGGGATCGAACCCAGGACCACAGGATCACAAGTCCCGCGTGCTGTCCGCTCGGCCGACCGGCTCCCTCCCTACCCTAGCAGTGTGTACCCTAGCATACTGTAATCCAATATTTTCACTAAGCTTTTCATATAAAATGACTTAGCTGTAGCTGGCCTAGAGAGCACAATATACATATTTTTCCGACAACTTAGGAACAAAACAAGTAAGAAAATATAACAGGATTAGGAACTCGTGAGTAGAATTTAGTTTTAATAGGTAAGGCAAAGGTAATTATTTGGAAAAAGTGCTAAGCAAGTATGCAAGTTGCCGCATTCCTCACAATGCATTGTTGTCGCATGTTGCTAAATTCCTCACAGTATGACTACACAATATAGTAATTGGAAGAGATATGAAAACGTGATAAGAGCCGAGATAAAAAGACGAATTGAAACAGAAGTGCCAATAACAAATAGCTGATTATATGGCCAACAAAATGGTAATTCTGGGCCTAAATGCTTTCTCCATTGCTATTATTTAGATATACAAAATGTTGTACATTATTGCGAGGGAAAAGCAAAATTTACAGTTGTGTCAGGTATCCACGCACTGCTAAACTTTACCATACCTTACATAATTTAATAAGAGTGCAAGAGCCCCGAATAGTTATCAAAAGAGAAAATAATCACCAGAAAATAACAGAGGTTGTTATACATTCTTTTCTCAGTAGTCCCACAAAATAGTCAGAATGCATTAGGAAGTGATGTGGTGGAGGCAGACTCCATACACTGTTTCATATGTAAATATGATAAAGCCCAATAGGCTCAGGAACCTGTACCAGCCGATTGACAGTTGAGAGGTGGGACCTAAGAGCCAAAGCTCAACCCCCGCAAGCACAATTAAGTGAATATACAGATAACAAATGCACATCATATTATCTAAAAAATATTACCTTAAATACCAATGTATCTGCACAAATATAAATTATTTCTGAAAACAATAATCATAAAATACACAAAATCAAATTATACTGTATTTTGAAACCCAACTTGAAAATAATACAGTAATATATATTCACTCAAGGGATGAATGTCACTGTCCAATAACTCATTTTCAGGACAAATTTTAATAAAATCTTTAGTACAGTACAGTATATTTATTGACAGCTTACTCAGTGAAGCTGTACCGCCTTCACCTCGACACAGTAAACTTGACAAACTAAGACATTAAACTCAAAACCATCTTGGGAATGTGAGAGTAAACTATAAACATAGAAATAATAGATATTGCCCAAGGTGATCCCAAGGGTAGGCCAGAGGTACCCCCCCCCCAAGGGAGGCCAGAGGTAACTCCCCCAAGGGAGGCCAGAGGTAACTCCCCCAAGGGAGGCCAGAGGTGACCCTTCCCCCCAAGGGAGGCCAGAGGTGACCCTTCCCCCCAAGGGAGGCCAGAGGTACCCCCCTGCAAGGGAGGCCAGAGGTACCCCCCTGCAAGGGAGGCCAGAGGTAACTCCCCCAAGGGAGGCCAGAGGTACCCCCCTGCAAGGGAGGCCAGAGGTTATCCCCCTCAAGGGAGGCCAGAGGGACCCCCCAGCAAGGGAGGCCAGAGATGATGCCCCCCAAAAGGAAGCCAGAGGTGACCCCTCTTAAGGGAGACCAGAGGTAGTCCCCTCAAGGGTGGCCAGAGGTTATCTCCTTCATGAGAGGCCAGAGGTGACCCCTCCCCCCCAAGGGAGGCCAGAGGTGACCCGCCCTAGAGGCCACAAGGGTGTATCCTGCACCAACCACCTGTTCACGAGTGCCACTCACCAAAGTAGACTGGTCGACCACACTTCCTGCACTGCCACATCTTGAGAAGGTGTCAGGTGGTGAGCCTCAGCATCCTGCAAGTGGTCGCATCTCTCACTACCACCAGATGATTACAGAAACATCCCTCCACCTATGTAAACATTACGACGGGACGGCACCTCAAACTTCCGGGTCGTGTATTCTCGATCTTCAAATATGCTCTTCCAACTTTTAAAAGTAAAAAGACAAACCAATATAACGTTCAAATAGTTTTATTGAACACATACAATATTATCTGTTATATAAACTTTATTAAAACGGTATATTATGCGCAGATTACTACATTATGTAATCTGGACCAAAATTTGCAAACATTCCGGAGAGAAGCGTTCGCGAGCGACGTGAAGACGGATCATAGCACGCATGCACGCATCCGCGCGCGCGCACCTTTCAGGACACAATTGAGGACACTGCCTATGAAAGTCACTGTTCTCGTGGGTCTTACACTCTCAGGGGTCAGGAAACATGTTGGGCAAAGTTCAATCCCCCGACCGTCCACAAGTGGCTGGGCACCATTCCATCCCACCGTCCCATCCCAAATCCTTAGCCTGACCCCTTCCCAGTGTTATATAGTCGTAATGGTTTAGCACTTTCCCCTGATAATTCCTTCCCTGGAATATGACCCCCCAAATCGCTTAACAACCAGGTACCCATTCACCGTTGGATGAACAGAAGCTACAGTTAAGGACTGGCGCCCAGTCATTCCTCCCCCGGCCAGGATACAAACCCAGGCCAAATCGATCGCGAAGCACAAGGCGATTGTCTTACCACAGCGCCACGGGGATAGCTATTCATATACATATTCATATTATTATTCAGATAATCGGTAGGAGCCGTGATGTGGATTCGAACCTACGTGATGTGTAGTCCCACTAACATTACATTTGATACATTACATTAGTGTGATTAGTCTGTGTTATTATTATTATTATTATAACCAAAACAGCAAAAAGAATGTTTTGTACATTTTGACACGGTAAACAGTACCTCCCCCCCCCCCAACACACACGTGGTGATGGAGGACGCGGCCAACAGGGGGCCAGACACACACAGCACCGCCACTAACTGAGAGGGGAAATTCTGGTGTACTCGGGCAGGGGAAAAAACTCCGGTGGTGAGATCGCCCCGAAACAAACTAGTAGAGTATTTATACAGCCTAGCTCTCTCTCTCTCTCTCTCTCTCTCTCTCTCTCTCTCTCTCTCTCTCTCTCTCTCTCTCTCTCTCTCTCTCTCTCTCTCTCTCTCTCTCTCTCTCTCTCTCTCTCTCTCTAAACAACAGCACAGGTTTAGAGAATGGTAATAATCTTTCTTGACAAATTGATTAGTTCTTCAACCAGATGGGAGAGAGAGAGAGAGAGAGAGAGAGAGAGAGAGAGAGAGAGAGAGAGAGAGAGAGAGAGAGAGAGAGAGAGAGAGAGAGAGAGAGAGAGAGAGAGAGAGAGAGACCCGCACCTAAAAAAACAAATACAGTAGCTAAACTATCTATAAAGATATGGAATCTAGTTCCTGTGCTGAGGGGATTGAGCTACAAGGAAAGAGAGAGGAAACCTCACTAAAAACATGCGATGATGAGGAAGAGGGGGAACATGATGAAGACATAGAAGATTCTCAGGGAACAAATACAGCCAACAAACCACTTTTAAAGCTAAACATCACACACACACACACACACACACACACACACACACACACACACACACACACACAAAGGTTTGCCACCAGACTAGTACCCGAGCTGAGAGGTATGAGCTACGAGGAGAGACTACGGGAATTAAACCTCACTTCGCTGGAAGACAGAAGAGTTAGGGGGGACATGATCACCACATTCAAGATTCTGAAGGGGATTGATAGGGTAGATAAAGGCAGTCTATTTAACACAAGGGGAACACGCACAAGGGGACACAGGTGGAAACTGAGTGCCCAAATGAGCCACAGAGATATTAGAAAGAACTTTTTTAGTGTCAGAGTGGTTGACAAATGGAATGCATTAGGAAGTGATGTGGTGGAGGCTGACTCCATACACAGTTTCAAGTGTAGATATGACAGAGCCCGATAGGCTCAGGAACCTGTACACCTGTTGATTGACGGTTGAGAGGCGGGACCAAAGAGCCAGAGCTCAACCCCCGCAAACACAACTACGTGAGTACAACTAGGTGAGTACACACACACACACACACACACACACACAGTGTGTGACAAAGAAGTATGCGAGGAACTTAATAAGAAATTCCAGGAAGTCTTCACATTAGAGCAAGGAGAAGTTCCAGAGATAAGAGAAGGAATAGTTAACCAGACACCACTAGAGGAATTTAAATTACAAATGGAGATGTAAGGAAGCTTTTGCTAATGTTGGATGTGACAAAGGCCATAGGCCCGGGTGGAATATCGCCATGGATACTAAAGGAAGGAGCAGAAGCACTGTGCCTGCCACTCTCCACGGTGTATAATAAATCACTGGTAACAGGTGAACTGCCAAAAATCTGGAAGGCGGCAAACGTAGTCCCGATATACAAGAAGGGGGATAGACAGGAGGCACTGAACTACAGGCCAGTGTCCCTAACTTGCATACCATACAAGCTGATGGAGAAGATTGTGCGAAAAAAGCTAGAAGAACATCTGGAGCGAAGGAACTTTGTGACACAACACCAACATGGTTTCAGGGATGGCAAGTCATGCCTCACAGGGAGCCGGTCGGCCGAGCGGACAGCACACTGGACTTGTGATCCTGTGATCCCGGGTTCGATCCCAGGCGCCGGCGAGAAACAATGGGCAGAGTTTCTTTCACCCTATGCCCCTGTTACCTAGCAGTAAAATAGGTACCTGGGTGTTAGTCAGCTGTCACGGGCTGCTTCCTGGGGGTGGAGGCCTGGTCGAGGACCGGGCCGCGGGGACACTAAAGCCCCGAAATCATCTCAAGATGACCTGAAGATAACCTCACAGGATTAATTGAATTCTACGATCAGCCAACAAGAATCAAACAAGAAAGAGAGGGATGGGCAGACTGCATATTTTTGGATTGCCAGAAAGCTTTTGACACAGTGCCACACCAGAGACTAGTGCGAAAGCTGGAGATGCAGGCTGGAGTGAAAGGGAAGGTACTCCATTGGATAAGGGAGTACCTAAGTAAGAGAAGACAGCGAGTCACTGTGAGGGGTGAGGTCTCAGATTGGCGAGACGTCACTAGTCCCGCAGGGTTCAGTCCTTGGACCCATACTGTTTCTTATATATGTAAATGATCTCCCAGAGGATATAGAATCATTCCTCTCATTGTTTGCTGATGATACAAAAAATATGAGGAGGATTAAGACGGAGGAAGACAGTATGAGACTACAAGATGACCTAGATGAATGGTCCAACAAATGGCTACTAAGGTTCAACCCGAGTAAATGTAAGGTAATGAAACTAGGCAGTGGAAACTGGAGGCCAGACACAGGATACAGATTGGAAGATGAAGTCCTTCATGAAACGGACAGAGAGAAGGATCTAGGAATTGATATCACACCAAACCTGTCTCCTGAAGCCCACATAAAAAGAATAACGTCTGCGGCATATGCGAGGCTGGCTAACATCAGAACAGCGTTCAGGAACCTGTGTAAGGAATCATTCAGAATCTTGTACACCACATATGTAAGACCAATCCTGGAGTATGCGGCCCCAGCATGGAGCCCGTACCTTGTCAAGCACAAAACGAAGCTGGAAAAAGTCCAAAGGTATGCCACTAGACTAGTCCCAGAACTAAGAGGCATGAGTTACGAGGAAAGGCTGCGGGAAATGCACCTTACGACACTGGAAGACAGAAGAGTAAGGGGAGACATGATCACAACCTACAAAATCCTCAGAGGAATCGACCGGGTAAACAAGGATAAACTATTCAACACTGGTGGGACGCGAACAACGGGACACAGGTGGAAACTGAGTACCCACATGAGCCACAGAGACGTTAGAAGGAACTTTTTCAGTGTCAGAGTAGTTAACGGATGGAATGCATTAGGCAGTGATGTGGTGGAGGCTGACTCCATACACAGTTTTAAATGTAGATATGATAGAGCCCAGTAGGCTCAGGAATCTGTACACCAGTTGATTGACAGTTGAGAGGTGGGACCAAAGAGCCAAAACTCAACCCCCGCAAGCACAAATAGGTGAGTACAAATAGGTGAGTACACACACATACACACACACATTGATTGGGAGAACAGAGACCCGCATGGAGGACCAGAAACATGGAGAGCTAAGCTGCTGGACGTGGCAACAAGAAACTTTCTAAGCCAGCACATCAAAGAACCAACAAGAATGAGAGAAGATGAACCAGCAATGCTTGATTTGATATTTACCCTAAATGAATGGGATATAAGGGAAGTTAAGATGGAAGCGCCCTTGGGAATGAGTGACCACAGTGTATTGAACTTTGAGTACCTGGTAGAGCTAGGACTTATCTCCCCCCAAAAAGAACTAGGAATCAAAAGGCTGGCATACCGAAAGGGGAATTATGAACAGATGAGAAGTTTCCTAAGTGAAATACCTTGGGACACAGACCTCAGAGACAAGTCTGTACAGGGTATGATGGACTATGTTACCCAAAAGTGTCAGGAGGCAGTAAACAGGTTCATCCCGGCCCAAAGGGAAAAATCCGAGAAGCAACAGAAGAATCCATGGTATAATAGAGCATGTATGGAAACGAAGAAACTGAACAAAAGGGCGTGGAGGAACTTCCGGAATAACAGAACACCAGAAAGCAGAGAGAGATACAAGAGAACAAGGAATGAGTACGTCAGGGTGAGAAGAGAAGCAGAGAAAAGTTTTGAAAATGATATAGCAAACAAAGCCAAGACCGAACCAAAGCTACTCCACAGTCACATCAGAAGGAAAACAACAGTGAAAGAACAGGTATTGAAACTTCGAACAGGCGAGGACGGGTATACTGAGAATGACAGAGAGGTGTGTGAAGAACTCAACAAGAGGTTCCAGGAGGTCTTCACAATAGAACAAGGTGAGGTCACTGTGCTAGGAGAAAGGGAGATAAACCAGGTGGACTTGGAAGAGTTTGAAATTACGAGAGAGGAGGTCAAGAGACACCTGCTGGATCTGGATATTAGAAAGGCTGTTGGTCCAGATGGGATCTCACCATGGATACTGAAAGAGTGTGCAGAGGCACTTTGCTTGCCACTCTC